AACAACAACATATTTGTTGTTGACTCACAGACTCAGAGCTGTGGTTCTGAGAATGGGGTTTATTAGGGAAGTAAGTCAGAGAGTGGAGGAGGCAAATAATATTACCCAGTACAAGTCCAGGTTTTAGCGCAAGTTCCAAGGCACAATTATTCAATTAGTCCAGGCTCTGGTTGCAGTTCAGCAGTCAAATCCAAATCACCTAGCAAAGTTTGCCTCAAAGTAGTTATAAGTCAGCTTCTCTGCATGTATCCAGCAAGAACAACAAAAATCTTTAACTGTGGCTAGCACAAATATAAGCCTCAGGTCTCACCCCCCTGTAGTTTCTCCTCAACAATGCCACAGTCTGTTCACCATCTTCATTAAGATCTCAATTTCACCAGGTTCTTTCTCCAGTCTCCCTCAAGACTTTTCACCACAGTCTTGCTCACCACAAGTCTTGCTTATCTCAAGTCTTGCTGCCCTGTGTGGGAAGCACTCTTTCTCTTATCCTAATCTCATCCTAAGGTCATGAAGATTTGCACAACTGTATTTCTGCAGTCAAAATAGATGGAAACCAGAGTGGTGGTGGTGGTGGTGTTATGTGCCGTGGAGTCGCTTGTGACTCATAAAGACCCTATGTACACCAGCCCTAAACCCTGCTCTATCCTGTGCAAATCTCACTGCCTCTGACACACCCATCCTGATTACCCCAGTCACTGAATCAATGGCTTTGAAAAAGCCAACTTTTAGGCTAACAACACAAAACTAATCTAAAATTAAATCATAAATTTAATTTTGAGTTTCCTAACAACCACAGCAAAAAAAAGAGAAATAAGGTCAACATAAAATACAACGAGGCCAATGATACACAAGCTTCATAGAAAAAGTACTACTTTTCCTGGTCGCGAGACAAGAAAAATATTCTCATTTTGGTTCTTACAAGTAGGAGACTGTGATTAGTGAGCAAAGGTCCTCATTAACACTCTACTGTAAATATGATAGTGAATTTTATAAACTGGTTATAGTTGCTGGACATATGCCATGGCTTCAACACCAAAATGCTCATCAGATCAGGAAAAAAAATTCCTCTACCAGGTTAATATGTGGGTTGTTTACAGCTCTTTGTCAGTTTTACGCCAACATCAAATATAGTGTGTATGAAACAGTTAATTTTCCTAAGGGTGTTACCTATTAGTATCAGTACATTGATTGAGAGTGTGACAGAATTAGAAAATAAAAATACATGGACCTATTGTTTTTCAAAATCTACTATTTTTCAATTATGGTTCTTTTTGTATTTTTATTTTCACAATTATAATTTAGTAGAAGATTGACGATTTTTTAAACCTATAATGAGAAATCTAAAAAAATCTGTTATTTTTTCATAGCAAAATTTGAGATTTAGTTAAACACTCATATAATACATCTTTCTGTAATTAAAAATATCCTAAGATGACAGAAGATTTTTTTATACTCTATACACTTACTTATTTAAAAACATGTACACATATATGTATAATTTTAAGAATTTTCTCCCTTTTATTCCCATCAAAGAAATTACTTGATGTATTACAATAATAGACATAATAAAAAGTGATATATATGCATAAGAATGGCTGTATTATACAATATATGGTAAACTCTGCAGTTTCACAAATTCATATATCCTACTTTATGTTAACTGTTAGTATAATTAAAATAACTACATTTAATGTAGAAACCATAAATCTAAGTAACTTTATTTTGGGGCTTTCAAATAGAGTCCTAGTTTAAATGTAGTATAAATTACACTAAAGTAAAAATGCTTTGCACATTTTGATGTCTAAAATATAAACAATCACTCATTAAACATCCATATCACTACCACTAGATAAAAGGTAACAATTTTATAAATCCAGATTTCATAAACTACTGATTTTCATATTAACACTGCTGTAGATAGTCCATTTATTTACAATGTAACTTACTCCTTTGTTTCTCATTCTTTGTTTTAAAACAATAATCAATGCTTTTATGTGCAAAGAAGGGGAAAATTCCATTTAACACAAGTGATAAAAAGGAAATATCACTGCTAGGAAAACTGCGACCATCTTAAACCATACTGAAAGGACAAAAGAGACTAGGCATACTTATTTTTTTTTTCACCTCACCTCTTTAATGAGACTCATAAAGCGGGTCCCGAAGCGCCAGGGCTTGTGTCGATTACACTGTAAAGAGCTGACCGTCATCTGGGGAAACTGCTGGACAGCCACGGACACCACGTGTACAGCATCATACATCAGGGCAGCATCAGTCTGAAAACCAAACAAAAAGGAAAACCCAAGTCAATACAGCACGTGAAAATAGTTGGAGGCAGTTTGGAAGGGAAAAAGAAGGAAAAGGTAAGTGGACTGACAGTTTTCATGTGTGAGGGAGAAACTATTATTTCCCCCAAATCTAGTTCTTAGTAAGATATTTGGTATCAAAATTACTACATCAACTTCACTAGGACGTTAGAAAGTACCCTTTCTCCTTCAGCAAGAGATAATCCAAATGCATATGATCCAACCATCTTTGTTTACATAGGAAATGCATGAAGATATTATTTTCCCTTTGTCATTCTTCTATCTCTAGCTCCTACACCCACTACATACATACACATGCTGAAAGTGTACATATATGGATATATTGAATACAATTGTAATATTTGAAATATTTATATAAATCACATTTGTAATATAAAAGTCTGATTAGCTTTGGTGGCCTACTGGTAAGTAATTATGCTGGCAAACCAAAGGTAGGTTCTAAAACACCAGCTGCTCTGCAGGAGAAAGATGGACAATCTAACCCCATGCGATTTATTGCTTCTGAAAACCCGCTGGAGGATCAAGTATTGGTCAGTTTCAATTTGATGAGACACAACAACAAGAATATAAAAGTCTATAAATAAGCAATTCTCTTGCATAGTAAAGAAAAAGAGAATTAGAAAAGAAGTTGGGTCATCTATTGGAGCTTAATGATTCCTGATCTCTTACTTCTTCAAAATTTCAATCTCAGAAATGATGCTACAATTCTAAATATCAGTACATGTAATAATTCTCTTTCAAGACAGTAAGTTAAATCTACTGTGCTGTTTTCCAAAATTCCCATCTGAATCAAGGTTTAATTCTGGCTTTTCAAGTAAAAATGAGTAAGAATTTCACTGTTTTTGCACCTGCTCAAATGGCTAGTCACTTTGAATGCTGATGATAAAAAGGAAAACGTTTGTAAGTCACAACAAAACAGAGGCTCAGAGCATTAAGAGCTGTGTTAAATGGACCCTTACACTGTGTTTGACTGATCTATGCCAAGCTCTCTACCTACAGAAGAGGGCCACACTGACAGTGCTGGTAGCAATGAACTTTGGGCCATCTGCTTGGCATGCTTTGAAATAAAAGCACATATTTCCCCTTCTCATTCACACAATTAGTGAGCTGTGAAATGAATTCCAAAATGAATAGGAACCCTGTAGATTACAATCCTTGCCACAATACAATACAAAATGAGTACACATAGTAGCTTTGATGCAAATGGATCCAAAGGAGCTTTATAACATGAAATGGAAGACAGCTAAAAAATCACAGTACAATGATAGAACAAAATAATAACACTATCATTTTATAGTTCATAAATCTTCAGGGACTACAACTCAAATTTATAACCTTCATTTTATAAATTCCAATGGACTATTTTCACATACTCTGTTAGGCTCATAGTGAAAACGAGAGTAGTGGAGTGGATACAGACATATACCACAGTATGATAATTGCATTTACATTAGTATTTGGCCTAAGTAAATGTTAGAGGACATATTTTATATGCCACACCTTCTGCCATAGAATTAATTCCTACTAACATACTAATGGTTATTAAAAATAACTATTAAATACAATAAACACAATTTTAAAATAGTTACTAACTACAATAGGGAGAAATAAGTACTTTCAGACATTGCTGGAGACATACATAGTAAATGATAATTTGGCAAATTGCATTACATCCTCCTAAATATTCTAATACTTTTTAATCCATTAACTAACTTTCTGGAATTTAGCCTAATAAAATAAAAACTAAATATATTTAAAGTGAGAGAAAGAGAGACAGACTGACCCACAGATTTTGTTCTTGTGGCATAGTCCCCAGTTTGCTGCACTGTCAACCAAAGTCCATGCATCTCTAGCTCTTCTAATCCATCAGTGGATCTGAGGGGAAAAGATGGACTGTCTCGTGCTATTAAGGTTTAAGCACTTCAGAAACCTCCTGGCGGGTTGCTATATGTCAAAACCGACTTGACAACAGTAATACATACATATATATGTATATATATATGTATGTATGTATGTATGTATATATATATATATATATATATACATACACACAAGTCAGAATAAACCCATAGCTTACCCTCCAATGAGTTTTCAGAAGCAGTAAACTGAAAGGAGGAAGTTGATCATCTTGAAATTTATAATCTTTCTCCTTTGGAGCAGCTGGTAGATCTGAATTGCATGCTTTGGTTTGACAGTGCAACTCCTGACTAGCAAGCCACTAGAGCTCCTAAGGTGATTACTTAGTATATGTCATTAAACTTAAACCTCACAATAATTCCAATTAAACATAATTACTGTTCCCACTTTATCCATGAAGAAACCGTGATGTAAAGAAGTTAACTTTGTATTTTACAAGAAAATGGAAATCCAGACTCAAAAGCCTCTTCTATAAATAAATAAATAAATATTAATAGTGATTATAGCCGGGAGATAGCATATTTCTTTCTCCCCATTTTTTCCCCTTCTTGCTTATTTTTCTTTACTGCCTCCATTTTCTAAGCAGAATATTAAGTTCTCTGACCAAGTATGATGATGATACCTATAAATGATTCTGTAAAATATAGGTATAAAATTAGAGATGCTCAACAATGACCATAGAAAGAAAAGTGAAAGTAATTGAATGTTGGAGCAGATGGGGGGAAAAGTGAATAAAAATAAATTAGATTGTAAGGATAAATAACAGTACTTAGTATTAGAACCACTGAAAATGGGATTTTCTAGTCATTATGTTCTCTTCTGTTAGGATCATGGTCTCCAGCTACCTTAAATTGTAGATACATGGTCTTGAAAATCATAAACAACTGTGGGACCAATAAAAGGGCGTGCTCTCCACACTATGAAAAAGGATAGTGAAAGTAAAGGAGAGATTGTGAAGACAATGTGGCACATTGTGAGGAAACTGTGGTAATGTGTAACTCTGGAGATGAAGGCCATGGTTAAAGGTTTTGCTTGCTAGATGATTGAGGGGAAAGCAGACTTGCAACTGCACTGAGATAAAGCATGCTGAACTGACTGAGGAAACCTGAGGGTTTTTTTGTGCTGCTGAACTGAACCTGGACTTTCACTAAAGAAGGAATTGTGTCTTGCTGCTAATATAGGTTGGTACTATTGGACTAAACCTGGACTTGTATTGGTGATATTTTTGCCACCCTCACTCCTACATATATCTCCCTAATAAACCCCATGAATGTGAGTAAAGTCTATGAGTCAGTTTGCAATGAACATTGAAGCCAATAATTGATAAAAACAGGTGCAGAAGTATGTGGGGTGGCATGTATGACCATAAAACTATGGACATTATTGATGGTGAAAGTTCCCTTTGATGAAGTGGGTAGAAGTTAGAATCAATTGCTTTCACATTTCATCTCCTCCTTTGGCAGGCACCAAAGTAAATGTGACAAAATTGTCCCACGAAAAATCAAATTAATCATGTGAAAGTAAAAAATGAATTTAAGCACTAAAAGCCTTAGGCTTTATCTAATAATATGTTAAAGGAAATCTAATTTGAGTAATACTTCTCTTATTCCTTCTACCATACACTTGCCACCTTCTGTCTAGTTATTGTTCATGAGATTCTTAAAGAGCAAAACTCTCAAAGTATGTTTCAAGATAGTGTCTAAGTGGCATCTTTTATTAAGTCTAGATTGTAGAGATACATTTAACTGTTTGCCAAGTTTTTACTTCTTATACTGACTATACTAACCAATCTCATTTTGATTCTCCTATCTATGGAAGGCCAGAGGAAAAAAAAAGGAAACAGAAGAGAAGTATAGAGCAGACACAGATTAATTATTATATGTTTTGTGTTATCCTATCAAATTATATGCAAGAGTTACTATATGTAACAAAACCATGTCAATTAGTGAAAGGTAATAGTTAATATTCAGAGAGACAATTTTAAAGAAGAGACTGAAACTTAAAACGTTTAAAGTAATTTCCTCAAAGTCTCATCAACAGCAAAACGAGATTCAGAACTCTGAATGCAAAGCCTACCCTTAGATCCACTATCTGGACTGTCAGGATCCATTATTTTTCCCAGGTCATATTTCCACTGACAGCACAAGGACTATGGAAGAGAAACTAGAAGGGCATGTTTTCAGGTTCCTGCACAATACCAGTTTTACAAACTTTACTTGGAACACTTTCTAGATCCATGTGACATAGAAATAATATCTCTGAGCTGGGATTCAAATGAAAGCTCATTTGGTTCCCAAGTTTTTGTTTATTTGCTTGCTTGTTTGTTCTTTTCCCTTAAACAATGTACACATGCTGCTAAGTCACTCACAGAACATACTGATCCCACCCACATACAACAGAAATACTACATTTCATGGTCGTGCATCATCCACATGATAGACTGTATAATAGATCATTTTAATACATGGCATTTCCAGTGGATGCTACTTATAATTACCTGGGTTTTCTTCCTGGCTCACATTGGATTATAAACTTCATTGAAATTCTTTAGTGTCAAAATATTCCATTATCTAACACTGAGAAAAGAGTGGTTGCACATGATGTGCACTAACCAGGAATTCACCCAGTCCTCTCACATGGATTGGAATAATTTTTAGCACTGAACCCCCAATGTTCTCATTTATATGCTGTTGTTGTTTCTATATTCTATTGTGTCAACTGTAACACATAGTGACCCTGTGAATAACTGATCTGAACCATATCTTATCCTATGCCACCCCACCATCTCCGACACATTTAAGCCTACGTTAAACCCACCGTGTGAATCCATCTTGTTGTAGGTATTCCTTTCTTATGTGGACCTTCCACCTTTCAGAGGACAATGTCCTTTTCCAAGAACTGGTCTACCTTACAACATCCCTAATTATGTGAGACAGAACTTCACCAATGATCTTTGCCTCTAAGTAGCACCCTGGTTTCACATCCTCTAATACAGACATGCTGTAATTACCTATAGAGAATGGATGTTGAGC